TGTGGGGGGACATGTGGCTGCCTGAGGGCCATAAACAATGGGCACCCACCACCTCAAGCCCAGCTGTCCTCCCCCATCTTTCAGTGGGTGCTGTTTTTGTCCCCAAAACATGTTTTCTCTAAATCTTCCTGCCTTGGTGTTACCCAGACTCTTGTTCTTGTGTCACCTCTTTGCTCTTAAGTGATGATTTTTTTCCCCCCAAAACATGACTTGTTTAAGTTAACAACCCACGTCACTGGGATGAGGAGGCAGGTCAGACACCCCCCAGCTGCTGGGGGAAGGGAGGCAGGGAGGTCCCAGCCCCCAGCATCCGGTACCCGACAGAGCTGGGGCTGCCTGGTGTGCTGTGGTGAGGAGCTCTCTGCACATCCTCTCCTCCCAGCAGGGGAAAGAGCCACCAGTGCTCAGTGCCATGTGGAGGGGACAGTCCCTGGGCCCCTGGGTGCTGCTGGCCAGCCTGGCCCTGGCCAGCTGGAGTGTCCAAGGTAAGTCCCTGGCTGTGGGTCTCTGCCCGTGGGCTGCTGAGGTGCTGTGTCCTGGGGATGAAATGGGGGTGGTGGTCCCTGGAGACCCTCAGGTTGGCAGTGGTGCCCAGTGGGCACTTGCTGCAGTCCCTGGAGACCCTCAGGTTGGCAGTGGTGCCCAGTGGGCACTTGCTGCAGTCCCTGGAGACCCCCAGGTTGGCAGTGGTGCCCATCAGGTGCTTGCCGTGGTCCCTGGAAGCTGTACCCGTGCTGCTCCCACTGCAGGCAGCTCTGCAGCCACGGGAGGGTGGCTGGAAGCAGCTCCCTGCAGCTTGTTGGGGTTGTGTCCCTTGTGGACCTTGATATGATGTTTGTAAATTTCAATGGGGAGAAAGGAATGGGTCAGCACAAGGGTTCCTGAGGACGGGGTTGCTCTGATGGTTCTGCTCACCCTGGCTTGTTGCTGTGACAGTCTGGAGCCACCTGGGATGGCTCAAATCCACCCTACAATGACAGAGCACCTGCAGCTGGGCTTGCCGGGGTCCTGGTGCTGGACCAAAGCAGCTGTGAGCTCTGTGCTGGCACAGACCTGCCAGCAGGAGAGCCTGTGTGCTGTGCTCTGCTCCAGCACTCAGCGAGTGAGACAGGGAATTTGCTCTCAGATTCGGAAGATGATGCTTTTGCATGCAGTTCTTTGTGTGCTCTTCACTAAAAATGGGGTTTTTTTATGCTTGGGTAAAAAACCCCGATGGGTTTTTGCCTCCTTGTCTGGGCTCAGCTCCTCTCCCTGCTGGTGGAAACGTTTCACTTTCTGTTGAAAGGTCTCTGGCTGAATTTGCACTTCAATACTGATGTGATCTGTGTGTGGGATGAGGGTCACACAGAGAGTGGAGTCCAGGCAGGTGCCCGAGCCAGGTGGGTTTTCTCTCTAAGGGAATTTGAATCTCTGAACTACCCAGAGCTGCTGTAATGTAACTACCAGTTCAACACTGAACTACTTCTCTGCTGGGTAATCTGCATTATGTGGTTTGTTTTGTTAGCAGTGTCCTTTCCAGTGCTCAGGGGACAGGCTAACATGACTCTCCACGGATGAGATCTGTGAGCTCTGCACCACTGAGGGCTGAGAACTTGGCTGGGAAGCTCTTTGCCCTCCTGTTTGGTTTGTTTTCTTTTTACAGGGCAGAAGGTAATTGTGAAGGAAGTCAGTGGGAAGGTGTTTCTGCAGTGTGTGACGGGCACCCGAGCTGAAGCCACGTGGTGGAAAGATGGGACTGAGATAGGAAACTTCACACAGCTGGACTTGGGTTCAGCTTTTGATGATCCCAGAGGCATCTACATGTGCAAAGGGGAAAGTGAACAGAGGAGCCCTCCCCTCCAGGTGCACTATAGAAGTAAGTGTTGCAATCCTGGTTTCTAGAGCCACAACTGCCTGGGGTTTTCACTGAAGACATTTTTTTGAGGGAACTGTGTTTTTTCTCAGAGTTTGAGGGTGTTTCCACCAGTTTGTGGAAGCTCCAATAGATCCTCTGCTGGGTTGGCCTTGGGAGCAGCCAAGCTGCACATTCCCCTGGGTCTGGTGCCTGGACTGGCCAAGTTCTTTGGGCTCAGTCTGGCCCCACAGCTCCTGGTGGTTGGCTGAGTGTTGCTGTTCTTTTGGGCTTCCAGTGTGTCAGAACTGCATCGAAGTGGATGCTCCCACCATCTCTGGGATTGTGGTTGCTGACGTTGTTGCCACCATCTTCCTGGCAGTTGCTGTGTACTGCATCACTGGGCACGACAAGGGGCGCACGTCGAGAGGTAAGGGGGGTGCCTGGGCATGTCCAGGAGCTGCGTGGTACCCAGGGACTGCCCATCCCTGCCCACAGAGCCAGGTCACTGCAAGCTGGAACCAGCACGCAGCAGGTCTAGGGCAGGGATCTGTGTGATCACCCTTCCTGTCCCTAGCTCAGCTTCTCAGGAGAAGCCATCATATGTACAGGGTTCACCAAAACCTTCTCCCAGCTGGTGGCACAGGAACATCTGAGGCTTGTAGGGGCTTTCTACAAAGAATGTAACAGCATAGTGCTGATATTCACCAGGCTACCTGTGACTCCCCCAATTCCTGACCATCTTCTCTCTTCATTTAGCTTCTGACAGGCAGAACCTGATTGCTAATGACCAGCTCTACCAGGTGATTGGGGGGGTGTGTGGGCTTCAGTGTGTCTGTCTGGTCTGGGGCTGTGTGGCAATGATGCTGCAGCTGCTGGGGGGACACACCTGATGCCTCAAGGCATCACACCATGTTGGAGGTTGCTCTCTGCTGGGACATCCTTCCCCTGAGAGACCCCGAGCTCTGTGTGCAGGGAGGGAGAGCTTGCCAAAAGCTTGGCAAAGGGAAGTCCTGGACCCTCTCTCCCAGGGCTGGACAAGGGTTGTAGCTCACTTTGCCTTTTTTCCTCCCCAGCCCCTTGGCGAGCGGGACGAGGGGCAGTACAGCCAGCTGGCCCCTGGCAGAGCCCGCAAGTGAAGCAGGAAGATGCTGAGGCCTGTGACTCCTTCACGTGGGGAGTGACATGACAGCAAAGCTCCTGCCAGGTGCTCCAGGGCACCAGCACCCTGCTCTGGCACTGCCACTGTAAGTGCACTGTGGGTGGAGGGCGCTGGGGTTTTGCCTAGAGAGCCCCCCCAGCTCCTTGTAGCTCCCTGCTCATCCCCTGATCTCCTGCACTTCTGTATCCTCTGATTAAAGACAAGCCTGTCCCTTGGCCTCCCTGCTCCATCACTTGTGCTGAGGCCCGGGGAGCTCTGCAGTCCCTGGGAAGGTGCACGCTGGATGTGACCCACCCAGATCCCTGCAGAGCCACCAGGCTCCTGCCCGTCCCAGCAGGATGCTGCTCTGCAAGTGTGGGCAGGTGCCCGTGGCTGTGTCACCTCTCTGTGACACAGATGGGACACAAATGACATCTGGGGCTGTTGCCAAAGTTGGGGGTAGCAGACCTTGTGAAGGGAGAGGGCTGCCAGTGGCAGCAGCAGAGGTTGCATCACATTTAATTCCCCTTGCAGGGTGGGGAGCAGGGACACCAGGAGCACAGCAAGTGTCAGCAGGGTCTGTCTCACCCCTGCCAAGTTCCTGCAAGCCTCAGTCTCCTGGACAGAGCTGGGGGGCTGGCAGGAAGGAGGACAGAAGGATGTTTTCTCTGCATATGCAGCAGAGGCCAGAGGCAGCCCAAGCTCTCCCCACCCTCCCCTGCCTTTGCAGCCCACGGGAGAGTGACAGAGCACTGGAACAGGCTGCCCAGGAAGGTGGTGGAGGCTTCCTCTCTGAAGACTTTCAAAACCTGCCTGGATGTGTTCCTGTGTGGCCTGCCCCAGGTGGTCCTGGTCCTTTCCAGCCCCCCACATTCTGTGATTTGGCAGCCTCTGTCAGGCCCAGCAGCCCCCCCAGGCTGCTGAGCACAGGGTGAAGTGAGGAAAACTTGGAGAGCCTTTCCCACCTCAGCCACCTTCCAGACACTGGGTCTCCTCACCCTAGCTGTTCCTGGCAAGGTCTCAGTTCCTCAGATCTGAAAAGAAACAGCTCCTGGGGTCTGACTGTGGCCAAAACAGGAGGCAGAGAACAGCCAGGACCTCAGAAACCAGGTCACCTCCACGTGCCAGTTGCACACACCTGTGCCCTGTGCTTCCCTGCTTTTGTAAGAACCTGGGCGAGTGGCTTGAGAGAGCATTTGTGACTCAGTGATATAAACTGGGTATGGAAAGAGTCAGCACTCAGCAAGAACTGGCCCCAAACCTGTGACACGCCAGGAGCAGCACGGGCTGTGCAGGGTGCAGGTGTGCCCTGCCTGCCCGTGCAGGAATTGCTGAGATCAGCCCCACGGGCACTGAGCAAGCAAAGAACCTGTTTTCCTTCAGTGTCAGCTCCTCACACAACAGTATTGTGCTGTTCACAGAAGCAGAACAATGTCCTGGTGGCTTTTCTGCTCCAACCTGCTCCAGTGAAGGGTGAGCCTGATGTAACTGTTCCAGGCAGAAGGTGCCAGAACCCACCTCTGGTCTGCAAAGGGTTGAGCCCTGTAAAGAGCAGAAGTGACCAGCAGGCTGCCTGGGCTGCAGCACTGGCCTGGCCAGCAGACCTCAGAGCAACGAGCCCAGGTGGCAACCTGTACCCACAGAGCAGGAGGAGGCTGGAGCAGGGGGGTGGGTGTGCTCTGCATGGAACAAGGAGACAGCAGAGGCCACCTCTGCAGCTTCTGTTGGAGAGGCTCCTCAGCACCTCGCCCTTGGGAGGACAAGGGAATGTTCCTGAGTGCAGCCAAGCACAGAGATGCTGTCACAGAGTGGGTACTGATCCCACAGAGGTGAGGGGAGCGTGGCTGGCACTGGTGGGGGCAGACGAGCACAAACACACACAACTGGTGGTGGAAGCACTGGGGTGTTGCTGGAAGCAAGACTCAGACCCTATGTACACAGAATGGTCCCAGCTTCTCACAGCCCACCCGTGGCAATGGGCTGTGTGGGTGGGCTGAGCAAGTGTCCCTGGAGCAGGGATGTTTTGCAGAAGCTGAGAACGTGGCCCCAAGTGGTTTTAGGGCTGCTGGGGGTAAGTGCTCTTTGCATCTTGCTATCTCCCTCCTAGATCTTTAGTACCTTGTTTGGTAACCCAGCTGTGCTGCTTTTAAAACCACATCCTGCAGGGTAAGCACAGCAATCCAAAGCATGGAACTTGCTGGGTGCTCATCTCACGCTGAAACTCGAGGGTTAAACCATCTCCCCCCAGCCTCAGTTTCCTTTCTTCAGAGCTGTTGTCCTGCAGAGCAACAGAAGCAACAGAAATGTGGCTCACTCTGCCACCCTGAACCAGAAGCAACCCCAGGCTTCACAGCATCCCTTGGCCCTTCTTAAGCTGTTGCTGCTGCTCTGGAAACCACAGCTTTTAAAATCAGGTAGATTTAAAATCTGTGTGGTGAGTGCATGAGAGCTCATGTTTTTCACCTGCCCCCAGACCCACGCCCTGGCTCCTGTTGCCCCCTGCCCTGCTCTCAGGCCCCACTCTCCTGGACACCCCCTAAGTGGGTGTTCAGGTCTCAGCTGAGCCCCACTATTTAATAGCAACACAGATTTGAAGCAAGCACTTAAAGCTCCTAATGGGAGGCTTTCAAATTACTCGTGGGAAGGTGTTAAACCCTCATGTGACCCCATGAGGATGTTTTGCTGAAGGTGTCAGGGAGGAGAAAGGAGGCCAGGAGCCACAGGTGAGGCTGCAGCCCTTTAATGAGAAGAGAAACCTCTTGCCAACGTGCTTCTTGTCCCTAATGGCAAACTGATGGCTGAAGGAAGACACCAGGGTCTGTCCTGTGTCACCCCAAATGCCAGGACCTCAGCAGGCCTGCAGAGAGCTGGTACCAAGCAGTTAGCCCCTCTGGTGCAGTTTCCCAGCCTGGCACCCGTGGGAATGTCAGAAGCCCCTGGTTTCCAGCCCTGCATACACCTCCCGCTGGCCTTTCCGGATGGGCTGTGGGAACAGCAGAGATGTTAGCTGGGGAACCTGCATGAACACCCTCAGACAAGGCCAGGATCTGGGTGCAGACAACACATGGAGGTGGGCAGAGCAGAGAGCAGGTGCAGTGCTGCTCTGGAGCTGCAGGTCTGCTCCCCACTCCCCGTGGCAGCACCAGAAGGGGCTCCACCTTTACCACCTTTTGTCTGTGTTCCCAGGAAAGGTTGCAGGTGGCCTGGGTGCCTCTTCAATGGAGCAAAAAGGATAAATCCCCCAGAATCCCAGCTCTGGCCATCCCTCCCCAGCCAGGAAAGGGAGATGGGAAAAGTACAGCTCCTCCATACCTCATAGTCAGGGTTTGGAACAGGGGGAGGACGTTGTGTCTTCTGACCTGCAACAGGGGCAAAGAGAGATCATCCTTGGTGAGGATCCGTTCAGTGCAGCACTGGGACTTTGATGGAGGTGACTGCAGGGTAAGGCATCCTGTGGGTCAACCCGCGTGGCTTTTTTAAGAGCTTAGAGCTTTCAAAGACCCAGTTTAAGAGCAGCATCCCCTGCCTCGTTTGCTGCTGCACAACAGCCTGTGAAATGGTTTCCTGTGGGCAGGGACATTTTTGGCACAGCCCATCCTATACAAGAAGGCAGCCTGGAGCAACAGGTGTGGCAAGCAGGAGCATTTCTTGGCAAGGGCTTGGAGGTTTGGGGGGGAGCAGAGCAGGCTGTGTCACTCCAGTGCTCAGCAGAGGTGCCCCAGGTGGTTCTTACCTCGCTGCCGGGTGCCAGCACTGGGGCTTGCTCTCCCCTTCCTGTCCTTGCTGAAGTAATAGACCAGAATCAGCACTCCCAGGGTGATGAGCAGATCTGCAGTGATGATCCCTGCCACTGCCGGGGCATCCAGCTCCTCACAGTTTGCACACACTGCCAGGAGAGAGGAGGTGCTCTGAGCTGGGCATCCTTCCTTCCCAGCAGGGAAAGGCCCTGACACCTCAGTCAGCAGCCACAGACCAGGGCCCGCTGTGTGCAGCCTCCCTTCCTGCCCTCTGCTCTGTGAATGGCCTGAGCCCAGGGTGCAAAACATCTCCTAGATCGTTGCACCATCCCTACTGCCCCTGCTGGACTCCTGGGTCCTGTCTGCAGAGCAGCTGCCCAAATTTTTAATGGCTTAGAGGCTGAGATCCCTCTCCAGGGAGATGCAGAAGCCCCCTTGGATAACAGGTCACAAACCAGGCTGTGTGCTGGGATGGGAGTTTCCCACTCTGCCTTTGTGGCAGGTGTTACTCCTGCCTTGTAGCCTGGCAAGAGCTGTACATAAAAATATCACACACTGCCCATGTGGGCACCACTGACAAGCAACCAGCTTGATCTTGTGGTTTATCTCTATCCCAACCAACACCAGCAGACTTGAGGACACAGAAGGGAAAGGCTGGAGAGCAGGGGCATTCCCTTTGTAAATAATTTGCTCTTTGGACCTTTTTACTGCTCAGACAGAGAGGGAAGAGCCTCAGCAGAATTGCACCCAACCAGCCCAGCAGGGTGAGCATCAGGTCTCATCTCCTCGGAGCTGCCACTGAAAGGTGGAGGCTTCACCCCCAGCCTGGGCTCTGAGGGCTGTGTCACTCACCTCGGGCGTGCAGGTACATGTTATACTTCTCCTGATTTGATGAGCAGCTCACGTTGATGGGAGAGCTGTCGTGGTTCTCCAGCACGTATTTCCTCTCGTCGCCTTCCTGTTTTTTCCCAGATAGATCCCACTCTATCCTGCCTTCAGTCAAGGGACACGTGATGGTCACCGTGGTTCCAGAAATCTCCACCAGGAGCTCTTTATTGGAAGGTGAGCCAAGGAGAAGGGAAAACAGCTTTACAAACAGCTCCTGGGCAGGCTTCCCTGCCCTCCCCTGCCCCACCATGACAGATTGTGCTGCAAAATCTTGGATTTTGTGGTGCAATGGCAGTTCCCTGCATTGTGTGTTTTCCTTTGGTGTTGCAAAGAATCAGTGTAAATAAACAGTGTCAAAATCCCACCAGTGTTCAACTTTGTCAGGGAGCCTGGGGCACCTGCCACCATTTATCCACATTCTTTCTGGTCTCTGCAGGTGGCCCAGCTCTGCTTGACCAACAATAATTAGGGACAACCCATTGCAGTTTCTTTTTCTGGTTAGTGATGACAGTAGCAACCAACAAACAGGAAATTTTTTGTCATCCTAAAATACTGCTGAAGTATTTCTATCTTTTAGACTTCCCCAGTGCACCCACAGTCTTCATATCATGCTAAATAGTTCAGAAATGCTGGTAAAACACACTTACCCTCTGTTGATTTGATATCATCTGTGGAGAGAATAGTAACTGTTAATAAATCAGCCTGTTGTTACCTCATTCCATTCCAACCATTGTTGCTATTAGAAAATTGGGGATTTAGAGAGTGAGTTGGTGTCAGAAAATTGTCACTGCTTGGGGGTCACTAGCAATAATTAGGGACAACTCCCGACAGCCAACTCTTCCAATCAGTCAGATCAGTAGCAGTTAATGAACTGTTCTTACCCTGCAATATTTGAAAAATGCGAATATTTCTATTTGACTTTCAGTGCTCACTTGTGAGGCACAGTTGGACTGTTTAACCAGAACAGTTAAGAATGCTGGTAAAATACACTTACCCTCCTGAGCTGCGGTGCCAACTACAAAAGAAAAAGAATAACGAGGGGTAAGTAATGTTGCTGAGATGCCAGTCACCTTCCCTCTTCAAGGACAACCTCTCTGAACCCAGCTGCTTGAAAGATGATGTTTATACCCATAGATTTGTGCTAAATGCATGAGAAGGGTTCTGTTAGCTGAGACAGGATGTTGTTTGGAAGTGAAGCCGTTTCCCTTGGAGGCCATTTTTAACACAGACTAGCACAGAATAGAAATTCAAATAATTCTCCAACCCAGTTTAGGAAAAGGATTATTGCAAGCAAGTATCTGTTAATTAACTTCTAAGCTTCTCTCTCTTAGTTAGCAGCTTCTTCACAGCCTGGACAGATACTCCACGCTTCATCTTCAACCAGCCTTCTAAATGTTGGCACCCTGGAAGTTGCTGCCACTCCCATGATATCACACTGAGTCTGAACTGAAATTATTTACCCATGATCACAAAAGGCTTGAGGAAAAGTGCATGAGCCAAGCGTGGAGATAAAATGAAAACACAAACCCTTTCACTCTGCAGGAAGCAGAGCATGGAGCTCCAACCCAGCTGCGTGGGGTATGGAGACCCAGGTGTCTCAGTGACCCAGCTAGCAAGCAAAAAAAAAACCAGCTGAGAGTTTAGGTTCTTTTCTCAAGCCTGGGAGGGTTCAATTCCAGTTTCCCTGCCCCTGCATCCTGCCCTCTGCAGGGAATGCTCTGCTGGAGAGCAGCAGCTCCCCAGGCACCGCATATGTGGCTGCAGGTACTTTGCAGAGCCAGTTGCAGCCCCTTGGCTGCTCCCAGGGTCTCCAGGGCAGCTGTACTCACCCCCACACAGCAGCAGTCCCAGGAGAGGCAGGGACCCCTCCAGCCTCATCCTTGTGTTGTCCCTCCTCTGGCTCTTCTCTACCGCATCAGCCCGGCGGCCCCGGGGCTGGCTCGGAGGAAGAAAGAGCACGTTGGCTTTTGCTTACAGGAATAGAGGCCTCAAGGACCTTTCCCAGAACTGTGTGTGGTGGTGAACGCAGCAGTGCTGGGGAGACTCACAGTTTCCAGTGAAGGCTGCGAGCAGCAGAGGCACCGCTGGGACACGGATGGTGAAATAACCCCCGTCAGGAAGTGCGGAGGCTCAAAGCGTCCCCAGGGAACGTCACTGGCACCCAGGGGTGGCTGCTCTGCCCCAGCCCAGGGCTCCCAGGGACCTGCTCTGACTGTGCCCAGCTAGGAGCAGGAGAGAGGAATGAGCCTGGATTAGCTTTGCCATCAGGACCCTGCTAAAACCTTTCCAGGGTGAGTATTTCTGAAGTTGCAGCTGCTGTGAGGAGCTTCACAGCAGGGCAGTGACCCGGGGAACCAGCTCAGTGCCTGGCAGCCCTGCAGGACCAGCAGAAATGAACCCTGTCAGTGCCAGGCTGCAAAACCCAGGGGGTTTGTCACTGGGGATGCAGCCCAGACTCCACGTTTGTTATTTTGCTCTAACTCAACCCATTTATTTCCTTCTGCCCCTCGGGAGCAGCAGTTGCAGCTCTTTGTCCCCGGTGCCGCGTCTCCTTTGGGCAATTCTGGGTCACGGCTTGGAACCATAGGGTGTGTGGGGTTTGGGAGGAACCTTTAAAGGTCATCTAGGCTTCTCCTGGGCTGCTGGCCCCAGCTGAGGTGGCCCGGGGCCACTAGATGGGGCTCCTGCCCCTTCCAGCCGGCTGCCCCGTCCGCGGGGCTCCCAGGGGGCGCATCTCACCCACCGAGGGGCTCTCTGGAGCTGTCAGGGCTTTCCTTTGTTTGTCACTGGGGATGCAGCCCAGACTCCACGTTTGTTATTTTGCTCTAACTCAACCCATTTATTTCCTTCTGCCCCTCGGGAGCAGCAGTTGCAGCTCTTTGTCCCCGGTGCCGCGTCTCCTTTGGGCAATTCTGGGTCACGGCTTGGAACCATAGGGTGTGTGGGGTTTGGGAGGAACCTTTAAAGGTCATCTAGGCTTCTCCTGGGCTGCTGGCCCCAGCTGAGGTGGCCCGGGGCCACTAGATGGGGCTCCTGCCCCTTCCAGCCGGCTGCCCCGTCCGCGGGGCTCCAAGGGAGCGCATCTCACCCACCGAGGTGCTCTCTGGAGCTGTCAGGTCTTTCCTTTGCTTGTGTCTGCTTCAAAAAAGCCTCGGAGAACGTAGGTTGGTAGTAAGGGAGCCCGGGACAGGGTCTTGTCTGCAGGTGGAGTCAGCACCTTTGGAAACAACATGTTGAGGGTTTGTAAAAGCCCTCAGGGAAATTTCAGGACAGACCCCCCTTCCCAGCCCTGTGCGTGGGATCAGCTGGTCCCAAGGGAGAGCCAGGAGTGCTGCTCCGTGGCCAGAGGGCAGTGACAGCAAGAAACACACTTGTCCTACTGGACTCTGCCCGGGCTGATGTGGGTAAGAAGCTGCTGCTTGAGGATGTGGGGGGTGGCAGGGAGTGGCCCCCTGAGCATCCACTGCGTGTGGGTACCTGGGACAACATTGGAAAAGCCAAAAGGATCCTGTTTGCAAACCAGAGAACCTCCCCTCCAAGCTCCAAGCCTAGTGAAGTGCCCCTGGTGGTAGTGGAGGAGCAGAAGTGATGATTTGGAACGGTAACCGAGTGGAAATGTGGGGAGATGGGGGTGATGAAGGGTTAACACAGAGCCAGGTTATTCCCTGAATATAGAGATACATGGTAACTCAGAGCAATTAGCAGTGACAGGGTTCCCTGTGCTGTTCTGTGGACCATCCTGGTGCCTTTTTACATTGCTAAATTTGTAACTTGAAGTTTAAAAGCTAAAAATAGATTCATTATTCTCCTCAGAAACTGCTGCAAGCAGTAGATGGTAGGAGAGATGTCTCCGTGGCTGCTCGTTAGCAAGAAGTCATGCTGCTGTCTTCTCCCCATCAAAACCTTGTCCTGGCCACCTCTGACGTGCTCTGCCCAGGTGATGCAAACTGCCCCAACCCCAGCGCTGGCACAGCAGCTCTGAGCAGGACGAGCCCTTCCCAGCCCCCCAGCCCCTGTCCCTGCCCGGGGGAAAATCGGCCGAAGTCACAACAAAAACCGGGATGGCTCTTTGGAAGTGGGGCAGGAACCAGATACAAGCACGGCCCCTCGCAGGTTCTGGTGTTGAAGTGATTTACAGTCCCTGAATGCAAAGGTGCTGGTTTTGCAGGAGCTCCCGCCCAGCTCAGGCTCTGCCAACTGCCCCGGGAACCAGGAAAGTGTTTGGTGTGCAGCTGAGTTTCTCTAGCACCTTCACAGGGTGGTTGGGGTTGGAAGGGACAGACTCTTCTGTGTTGCTTTTGATGGGCTGTTGGCAGGTTTTTACCAAGCAAGTGGCCTCGTTCCTTCAGGCCACCTATAAACACCTTTAGGCGAATTTTCTTTTGGGAGGAAAATTACGTCCCACAGGAGGGGAGTGGTTTCAAGTGGAAGCCGGGAGGAGGGGTGATTGCAACACAAAAGAGCAAAGGAATATGGGAGGCAGAAGAAATTAATCTTCCCTTAGAAATCTCCCTGTTTTCCACCCAGAAGTGGGCAGTGCTGGGCGCGCAGGGAACGCCCGCGTTGCCTTGCAGACCCAGCTGGGAGAAAGGAGTTTGCTCGACGGTGCCAGCAAGGCTTTGAGGAGCTTCCCTCTCCTCTGGTGATCGGGAACCTGAAAGCAGCACTGTTGATCCCGTGGAGCAGGGATTTGCCTTCCCGATGGATGGGCCCAGCTGGCTGGGCGCTGCGCTCTTCCTTGGGGTGCAGCTCCGAGGTAAGGAAACCCGGGGTTCTCTGCCCTCCTTCCGTCTGCACTTCCCTCTTCTGACCCCTTAATTACTGTCCTCGTTAAGGCAGCGACTTTATGGAGTCTCAGATACCTGTTGCAGACAATTGCTGCCATTCTTTGGGTCCCGGGTTCACTGCGAGTGCCCGGGAGTGATCGAGTTTCTTTGACAAACAGGTTTAGGTGTGTTCCAGGGGAAGAACACTCATCTCATTCTGAGCTCTTCTTACACATCTTTTCCTCTCCTGCCAGGAACCTGGACTTTACTCCTAGATGTTTCTTTTCACTATCTTCCTTACTAGATAATGAGGGATCGTTAAGCAGCCCTGGGTTCAGATCACACAGGAGGATTCCAGACTTGACCATGCCCTCCTTTCCCGCAGGCATCAGCACAGACACGCTCAGAGATGCCTTGGAACACGTATTTCACACTCTTACCTGTCCTTCCAAAGAAGTTGAAAGTGAAATTATTTGACTCTGAACCCTTGGATGAGAAACGTGATCTCTGCCAATGAGGTTTCTCACATGTGAAGTCACCTCCAATGTTTTGGCCTTTAAAATATTTCCCCCTTTGAACAAGGCCATGATTTGGCAAGGAAGTCTTTGGTTATCAATTATTTTCAGCAACAGGAAACGTATTGATTGTCTTGGTTACAGAGCTGTGTTTAACACCCATCAGATAAGGTTGCATTTTTTTTGCTTGAATCACACAGGGGTGAATTAACTCATCATCCTGAAGTGACAGGAAATTATGAATACTTTGTTGAGTTGTCCAGCTGAGTGATCTACCTTGTAACAGGCACTTCTTACATCTGTAAGAACAGTTCCCTGTGGTGTGCGTGGCCCTCAGCCTGATAGTGACAAGTGTGTAAGGGAAAGTTCTAGCAGGGGAAATAGCAATTCTTTGTTGGGGCTCAGCAGCTTGAAAGGGAAGAGCTGCTTTTCTGGAGAAATCCAAGTGTGAACATGAACACTTTTGAAAATGTGACCAGGACAAGCATGTGAAAAGTGGTGTGGTATCTTCAGTGCTAGTCAGGAGCAAGTGTATGTTTAAGGAGGGGTAGTATTTACAACAGCATTGCACCTCCTAGATGTCAAATTTGCTCGTGCCTGGAGAGGGACATTTCCCCAAAAAACAAAGTCTGTTGTCCCTATGGAGAACCCCTTCTGAGTGGCCCTCTCTTAATCAGTTACCAGATCAGTAAGTGTTTAACTGTGCAGCCACAGAGCTACAGAGACAGCTCTACCAGCAGCTCAGATGAGTGCAGCCTCCCTTGGAACCTTGCACATCAACTGGGAGCATCCACAGGCATCTCCTGGATGCTGCACAGGCAGGGTCACCTCCCTCTGGAGTTACATCTAGGTGGCTGTGACCATCAGGGCAAACATTGACAGGGACAGATCAGACCAGTTCCCAGCACAGACAAGGTGCAGATAAGGAGAGGTGCTAACTTGCTGGTTTTCTTTCCCCCTGCAGCTCTGTGGCCAGCAGCAGCCATGGAAATCCACACTGCCAAGGAGGTCTACGCTGTGAATGGCACCAACCAGAGGCTGAAGTGCACCTTTTCCAGCAGCAGCCCCATCAGCCCAGACCTGTCTGTCACCTGGAACTTTCAGCCTGAGGACCTGAGCTCTCATGAGCCAGTAAGTGAGACCTTTATGCTCCATTTTACTGATGCCTAAACAAACCATTCCCAAAGCCCAAGGACAGCAAGAACTCCAGCTGTGGGTATGAGCAAGCACAGGATGTGCATCTTGGGCCTTCTGCTACTCATAATGATTACTCTGAGCAAGAACTTTGGTTTACACACCCTGGCTAGAGAAACATTTTTTTGTTTAGTTTTTGGTAATTAGAATATCTGGGGCCTGATGAAACTGCACCTGCTTTTTCAAGAAGGACAGGGAACTGCTTGAAAGAGTCCAGTGCAGAGTCACCAAGATGATGAAGGGAGAGGAACATCTCCCTGATGAGGAAAGGCTGAGGGAGCTGGGTCTCTTTAGCATGGAGAGGAGGAGAATGAGGGGTGACCTCATTAGTGCTCATAAATATGTAAAGGGTGAATATCAGGAGCTGGAGCACAGGAGGTTCCATGTAAACACAAGGAAAACCTTTTTCACTGTGAGGGTGACAGAGCACTGGAACAGGATGCCCAGAAAGGTGGTGGAGTCTCCTTCTCTGGAGACATTCCAAACCTACCTGGACATATTCCAGTGTGAGCTACTATAGGGGATCCTGTTCTGGCAGGGGGGGTTGGACTGGATGACCTTCTGAGGTCTCTTCCAACCCCCACCACTCTGTGATGGTGTGGTTCTGTGCTCGCAGCTCAGCTGAGCCCTGTGTCTGAGCTGGCATCCTGCACCTGACCTGGTTTTGCCCTGGCCAGGGTGGCAGGGCAAGCAGCTCAATAGGTGCTGCCCTGTGACTGAGAGGCAGCTGAACTCGGCCAACTTTGCCACAGCAAAGGCACTTGGAATGGCCTCAGAGTTCATCTGAGGGCCACTGGGCCAACACAGCTCTCCTCAGCTTAGACCACAGCTGCTGCCACTCCACCTCCACCTGCTGCTTCCACCCCAAAATCTGCCCAGGGAGCAGGAATGACGGGTTCTTCTCTTTCTTGTAGGTGTTTTATTACCTGAAGGAGCCCTACGAGCTGCCCGCTGGGCGGTTTAAAGACCGAGTCACCTGGGATGGGAATATAGAGAGAAATGATGCTTCCATCAAGATCTGGAACTTGCAGCCCACTGACAATGGGACCTTCACCTGCCAGGTGATGAACCGACCAGATTTCTACGGCGCAGTGGGTGAAGTGCGGCTCCGAGTCGTGCAGAAAGGTGAGAGGCCAAGAACCCCACCAGGGGCCACGTGGATTTGGCCAGTGTGAAGTGTTGGCAGCCCTTCCTCCACAGCTGGAGAAGTGTATGGAAGAAAAGGGGTTGTAAAAAGGGAGAACGTGAGGATAGTTAATGGATACAAGGGAAAAAGTGAGCCTGAGGAAAGGTTATGGGCATGGATACAGGTTCCTGGCTTCATCCCAAGAGCCCCCTGTGTGTCCCTCTTGCTCACTGATCCGTTTCTCTCCACACAGTGCACTTCTCAGAAATCCACTTCCTGGCAGTGGCCATTGGGTCTGCTTCTGTCCTGATGATCATCGTGGTGACAGTGGTGATCCTGTGCCGGCAGCGCCGCAAGAGAGCGCAGGAGAAGGGGATGGAGGAGTCAGACACGGAGCTGTAAGGGCAGAGGAGGGAGAGGAAGGCTCCTAGGAAAGCTTGCCCACTGTGCCTTTGTAGCTCTTCTGAATCACAGGCTTGGACTCTACGCTGAGCATCTACAATGCAAAGCTCCCAGCACAATTAGCAGTAATTGGCTGCTTGTTTACAGCAAGAGCAGAACCCAGGATGAAAAAGCTTTGGTGTCCTCTTGCTCTTGCCCTTCACGGTGGCTCCTGGCCCAGAGAAGGGCTCAGCTCTCCTGCTGGGAGTTGGCAGCTGGAGACTGTTCTTGCCTCCATGAACCATGGTCTCCATGCATGTAGCACAGTCCTTATCTTGTCCCAGAGCTCCTTGTCCCACGGTACATGTGCCCTGTGCAGCCCAGAGCTGCTGCTCAGGAGACCTGCTGGTGATTTGTCTTTTTTTCTTCTTTCCCCCCCTCCTTTTTCTCTAATAGAAAAGAAAAGGAGAATCTGCAAAAGGTAGAAGAGGAGGAAGCCAGTCCATTAGAAGACTAGAGGTCTTTGATGGTATATACCATGCAGGTAGGTGTTCATGCTCATTAATATCTGGTACTGCAGACTTTCTGGGACAGTTTTCCTGAGGTATTTCATTTTTATTCCCGGCCAACAGGCCATGGGAACCATAACCAGAAAGAACTGAGATCACAGTCACCCCTGGCTCTCAGGGAGCCTTCAGAGAGGCTGAGAACTGAGCAGGCAGTAGAGACAGACCTGCCTTCTTAACCATGGCAGAGGTTTCTCCACCCTAGTGCTGAGGATCATTTTCCAGGACATGCCTGCTCTGGGGATGAGGAGGAATGAATTAATTTCACCAGTTTTGAACCTGCTTTTTAAAATTAATTCAATCTTTATTGCTACAAAATTGCTACAGGAAAACTGAAACTATTTCCAGATTTCCTGGCTTTGCTGAATCATTTCAGCATCATTTTTACCAGGCCAATTTCTCAACTGTTTTTCTTCTCAGTAGTAACCCTGAGTAATGAATCTCTTTTGTGTTTGTTTGTTGTTTTGTTTTTCTTATACTGCTTCTTCTTAGGTACTTCTAAAGCAGATGGTGGAAGCTTGTAATTTTGGAGGCTAGAACAAAGCTGAATTGCAGATGCCTCATGCTACAAGTGTGGTATCCCTGCTCAACCTGAAATTCTTGCAAGGAGAGAGGATGATATTAACATAAGTTGTCCATTTCCTGCATTCAAGCAAAGCAGGAGGAACAAGGAACTCTCCTGAATCTTCACACCTGCAGAAGGTGAAGAAAGCTGCTCTGAAGATGAAAAAATGCAAAAGGATTTGAACAAATGACCAAGAGAGTGACTGAACAGGGGCTGTCACAGTGTCTGGGTGAGCAGGCACTCCTGCACCTCACAAGTCACCAGGTGCACGTGTGTTGCCCTGTTTTTCCTCCCTGAAACTCCTCTTTGACGCCACGGAAAGGAGGAACGAGGCCCCGTGAGGGGCGCGAGGGGCAGGAGTTGCTGCAATGTACTGTAAAGCTCCGTGTTACTTTGGATGGGAAGTGTTACAGCTCGGGAAGGCGGGCGGGTTGCTGCTCGGGGCACCGCTCACCAGTGGGGGTGTTTTTCGTGTGGATCTCTTGCCGCTTCATGAGGCTTTCCCTGCGGTGGCTGAGGGCTCTGCTGTGGTGCTTGGGCAGCTCTGCTGCTCCTCCCGCCCCTGCTCTGCCCGCGGGTCCCAGCGCTGCTCCCTGTCCCCTGGGCTCTGTGTCCCTGCAGCCCAGGGAAGCTGTGGCTGCCCCATCCCTGGCAGTGTTGAAGGGCAGGTTGGATGGGGCTTGGAGCAGCCTGGGCTGCTGGGAGGTGTCCCTGCCCATGCAGGGGGTTGGAACTGGATGGTCTCTAAGGTTCCTTCCAACCCAACCCATCCTATGAGCACCACCTGGCTTTCCCCAGGTGCTTCATTGCCCAGGTGCCCACCCCAGCACCTCTCCCTGCTGCTTGGTGTCCTCAGCACATCCCCTCTGTGCCTGGAAATTAACCCGAGGCAAACAAAGCCCCAAATCCTGGGAACCGCGTCCCTGTTACAGCCCTAAACCCAACCCCAACCATCGGCCTGTTTGTTTCAAGAGTGTCTTGGTGGCTTCATAGCTCTGACCTGGGATGCGCCGGCCAAGTTATCCCTGGGGGTGGTTTCGTTTGCAACCTGCTGGGCCGTGAATAAAGCGGATTTATTGATGTTGTGAGGGGGCGGTGCGGGGAGAGGTGCGGGGTGAGGGGGGCGGTGCGGGGTGAGGGGAGAGGTGCGGGGAGAGGGGAGA